ATCAAAGCTTACAGAATGTGGCCAGAAATGTGCCCAGGGAACAGTCCTACAACTGCCACCACACTCCTGGAACAACGACGATCATTAATTGCCTTTGCAACACCAGAGATTATCACATCAGACAACGGCAGTCGGTCCGCGTCATCGACGCTTGCAGAGATTTATCTTATGTATGACACAAATAAGTTCTATTTGTCGCCGTTCCATTAACGTCGAACGGCCGGGCGAAGCCCTTCTTCGACACTCTGAAGCGTACACTTCTAAAGTCCAGCTAGAAGAGACCAACGGGACAGATTTTGCAAGGTTCCCTGTTGGCATATCGAGCGAGCCCTAGAATCACCTGAAGAGATGTCACTAGCAAAAGCACTGCTCCACCATAAGCTTTGAACACCATGTGACACTATCCGGCCACAGAAGCGGTAGTCGGGGTACCACAACAAGATAACAGGGAACCGGTTCAACTGGTGTCAGGGCGAACCCGCTGCAGCAATCGCGCATGGCCCTTCGGATGATTCGGAAATCAGCTTCCAGCTTCACTGCGTCAAACGTGGTCAGTCTCGTTGAGGATGCAGGTATCACTCCTGACCGCGGGGTTCAAGGACGGAAATCGGGAATCTGACAACACACTGAGCTGACAACGCTGATCGCAGAGGAGATAGGAGTCAGAACGAACACAAACAAGCGAACGCCGTCGAATAAGGCACACAAGCCTCACCCACCCGAAAAGCTGGTGGCTCAATTCAGTGTGCAACCATTCGCGAGGACGGGCCTCTTGGGATGCCACCAAAAGCAATACTTCTGGTACGGTGAAACGACCAGAGTCACACAGAGATGGCCTAATCGTGCCCGAAAGTCCGAGGAACAGAACGAAGGCATGTTCACTACAAACAATAGCGAGCGCATTCTTAAGCGAGCCAGTTTGAATCACCTTATCAGCTAAATGATATCCTCGGTCCAACATGGATAACTTAAGCCGTTCTTGTATGACGAACATTCTTGCCGACTTATACTTCCTGGTGCGATCCCCACGTGTTCTCACTCGGTTCATACATGTGGTGCTAAATACACGTGCCACTTCCACCAGGCTATATGGCCATGTGGAGCAGGTTGCTATTGTTGTTTGAGAGTAACTGAGGCTATCCCTTCGACAAGATATGACTTTTGCCACATTCCACTATCGGCCTGTATGTTATTCACTGGCGACAGGCATCCAGTGAACACAACCTATTCAGCGACTTCGATTCTGTGAACCTTTTGGTATTTGCGGTTCCGTTCCTTATTTTTACGCTTCCTGTCTTTTGTGGTAACGTATTCCCTTCGAGATACTGTTGGGTTTTATGTCACCAGTAGAAGTTCCATTGCTTGCTGAAACGTAATAGTCCGAGTCCTTTTTCACATGAGGATACTCATCATCATTATCGGTAGCATGCTATCACTGTTCAACTCTGATACTTTGCTGGCGTCCGAAGCTACTGGACCTTACTGTGGTGTCACCCACTGAACTATACGGGGGGTTTCCGCGCGATGCCAGAATGAGCAGTTGTTAAAGCTCTGACGAACACAATTTCTCGGGCTCCTGGTTGAGGGTTGAAAAATGTGTGGCGAAATGCATTACCCGCTAAGCACCGCTGCTTTACCGTCAGGCTTTTGAGCCAAAGGCTTGCTCGAAAGCCTTAATCGTCCTCCTGTCTAGGTTCGGGCACCCTGGCAGTACCTCAGCCCACATACAACCATGAATTGCACATAAGGATACTATTTTTGTGTGGGAGCTGATTTTTTGCTTGCTATCTGGATGCATGCCAGCAAATCTCGGGAGATCACTGGTTTCGACTGGTATACAGCTCCGAACTCAAGCACCAAAAGAGTTCTAGCTATTAAGATGAGTGCGCTCGATAGCCTTTGGGATTTCGATGATTTAGTATCCCAGCGACCTTTCTTCTGTAGTTTCTTCAGCTGTGTTACCAGTAGGAGTTTGATCCTTATGCGTAGATAGATAGGTGTCCCGGATCCGTGAATCCAAACAGTTGGCGTCATACATGGACAATTTTCTATCAATGTACATCATGTCAAAACTATCCTAGTCATGTGTGTGTTGTTTTCTGTGGGACGAGATGGCTCACCTGAGTACCAAAGGGGTGTTACAGCTGAAAAAACGATACTCGTTGAGCTAGCTTAGTTTCCACACCACCCAGAGGAAGTACGAGGGGTGAGATGGCCCAAGTGGTAACAGCGTGAATTTACTGACCGGAAGGTCCGTGATTCGAATCCGACCTCCGCCACTCGACTTCCCCTGTCTAGGCTTGGGCAACCTGACAGTATCCCAGCCCTCGTGCTTCCTTCGGGTGGCATGGCAACTAGGCACCGAAAGGGTGCTACAGCTGAACGTTTCTTCAAAAGAAGCACGAGGACTTAGATACTGCCAGGTTGCCCAAGCCTAGACAGGGTAAATCGAGACTAATAGGTGGAGTTGGAACCACTGACCTGGTCAGCAAATTGGCACTCTACTTAACCATCTCGTCCCAGGTGAACGATTATTACTTATTACGTACTATTTTATGGTTTTTTCCTTAACATTCAGGGTAATGTATTTAGTACTGTTGCTCAGCTGCTATTTTCTGCATCATCTGTCCTCATCGCAATGGACAGGTTTCGGGCTACTGGATTTTTGGCGGTTGTCGTGCACATCCATTTCTCTCTGTTTTAGCCATGATTCAACTCACCAGATTCTCGAGCATCATCGTTTTGTGTCTGCTGTTGGCAGCTCCTGGCGAGCCGAAGAAGGACTTATATCAAATTCTCGGTATTCCTCGAACTGCCTCGCAGAGAGATATAAAGAAAGCCTTCAGACAGATGGCTATAAAGTATCATCCCGATAAAAACCCCGGTAAAGACACATCCGAACACTTTCGAGAGATTGTGGAAGGTGAGTTTGATGCTTGGGCGTGTAGGCGTCCATTACTGACTTGCGTGCATACATCGGTTGAGATTTGAGCTTTGGCAGATATGTCAGTTGTTCAGTTTCATCCCATTTTTGCGTGCATCTAAGCCCGAGTGACTTCTACAATATTCTACGTCATGTTCTATTTGGGCTTCGTGACAGCTACATACCGAGAGATTCAACAGGTTTTGTCCATTGTTATCTGGATAATCGCTCCTTCACATGCGCTCTTTAGTTTACATTCGACTCAGTCGCCTAACAGTGATTTTGTTGGCACCTCTGTGGCGTAATTCATAGTTGTTAGGAAGATGATCAAAGTCATGGTTTCCAACTACCGATTGAAATTGAAACGTCGCCACTTCTCCAGGTTTTAGCTATGGAATCAAGTGATTCGGAAAACAAAGGGCATCTCAGCTGACATTTTCAAGAAACTGTCCTATCTCATACAGACAAATGGGAACTGGTTGTTAGTCCCGGGATTATAGACAGTAAAGTTGTCTTTCATGAAGGCTGCCATATTAGCGCCACACTATCGTTAGGGCAGTTTTCCCATTACCCGAAAAAATCACTGAAGTGAGTGGAAATTCTGTCCTGAAGGACACTTGTCCAAGATCGCCCAAACATGTGTTGTGGCATATAAACTACCACCAACTCTTTTCACTCTACTGGAATCTGCTCCATGTACCAATTCTCTCATTCAGTAATTCCGGAGCACCCATCGCATGCGTGCTATGTGTGGCATTGAGCTTGAGATAGCTCAGTTGTTGAGGTGCGAACTTACCAACCGAAAGGTCCGCAGTTTGAACCCTATCTCTGCATTTCGACTGCTCCTGTTTAAGCTTGGTTAAGTTGGCAGTACCCCGACCCTGGTGCTTCCTTCAGGTGGCATGGCAGCTAGGTACCGGAAGAGTGTTACCTTTGGCATCGTTTTCATGATGGAGCTTGGATAATGTCGCCAGCCCAGCCTAACACCCGTCTGTTTCGTGCGCATTTGCCTACGTGTGATTCTTGGCCGTAGTACCACAGCCGTTTGCAGTTCACTACTATCCGGAGCAGCTTCCGTTAGCTTATCCGGTGCATAGTGACTTGTCTTCAGGTACTGAAACCGTTCATACAAACGATATAGATCCTATCATCCTTGTGACTGAAACTCTGCTGCATCACTAGTATATTTTAGTTCGACGCTGCTGTACACTTCGCACTCATGGTTTCGCCACATTTGCTCGAGTGCGATAAGAGAGATAGGTGGGGTGTTGATTTTTTCTTATTGAGGGGGCTAAGATCCTTCCTGGACGAAGTTCATTTCTGCTGTTTCCAAATGGTAATCTTTTATTCGAAGTGGTGATTGGGTTAAGAAATCTAACATACCACAAGAACCAGCCTCCTCATCACTGGGTCAACTATTTACCAAACCAGTGAACTTGACCATCTGCCCCTAGTTTTCTGTCTCCTCATCGAAATGTAGTAGTTTGATCCTTATGCGTAGATAGATAGGTGTCCCGGATCCGTGAATCCAAACAGTTGGCGTCATACATGGACAATTTTCTATCAATGTACATCATATCAAAACTATCCTAGTCATGTGTGTGTTGTTTTCTGTGGGACGAGATGGCTCACCTGAGTACCAAAGGGGTGTTACAGCTGAAAAAACGATACTCGTTGAGCTAGCTTAGTTTCCACACCACCCAGAGGAAGTACGAGGGGTGAGATGGCCCAAGTGGTAACAGCGTGAATTTACTGACCGGAAGGTCCGTGATTCGAATCCGACCTCCGCCACTCGATTTCCCCTGTCTAGGCTTGGGCAACCTGACAGTATCCCAGCCCTCGTGCTTCCTTCGGGTGGCATGGCAACTAGGCACCGAAAGGGTGCTACAGCTGAACGTTTCTTCAAAAGAAACACGAGGACTTAGATACTGCCAGGTTGCCCAAGCCTAGACAGGGTAAATCGAGACTAATAGGTGGAGTTGGAACCACTGACCTGGTCAGCAAATTGGCACTCTACTTAACCATCTCGTCCCAGGTGAACGATTATTACTTATTACGTACTATTTTATGGTTTTTTCCTTAGCATTCAGGGTAATGTATTTAGTACTGTTGCTCAGCTGCTATTTTCTGCATCATCTGTCCTCATCGCAATGGACAGGTTTCGGGCTACTGGATTTTTGGCGGTTGTCGTGCACATCCATTTCTCTCTGTTTTAGCCATGATTCAACTCACCAGATTCTCGAGCATCATCGTTTTGTGTCTGCTGTTGGCAGCTCCTGGCGAGCCGAAGAAGGACTTATATCAAATTCTCGGTATTCCTCGAACTGCCTCGCAGAGAGATATAAAGAAAGCCTTCAGACAGATGGCTATAAAGTATCATCCCGATAAAAACCCCGGTAAAGACACATCCGAACACTTTCGAGAGATTGTGGAAGGTGAGTTTGATGCTTGGGCGTGTAGGCGTCCATTACTGACTTGCGTGCATACATCGGCTGAGCTTTGAGCTTTGGCAGTTATGTCAGTTGTTCAGTTTCATCCCATTTTTGCGTGCATCTAAGCCCGAGTGACTTCTACAATATTCTACGTCATGTTCTATTTGGGCTTCGTGACAGCTACATACCGAGAGATTCAACAGGTTTTGTCCATTGTTATCTGGATAATCGCTCCTTCACATGCGCTCTTTAGTTTACATTCGACTAAGTCGCCTAACAGTGATTTTGTTGGCACCTCTGTGGCGTAATTCATAGTTGTTAGGAAGATGATCAAAGTCATGGTTTCCAACTACCGATTGAAATTGAAACGTCGCCACTTCTCCAGGTTTTAGCTATGGAATCAAGTGATTCGGAAAACAAAGGGCATCTCAGCTGACATTTTCAAGAAACTGTCCTATCTCATACAGACAAATGGGAACTGGTTGTTAGTCCCGGGATTATAGACAGTAAAGTTGTCTTTCATGAAGGCTGCCATATTAGCGCCACACTATCGTTAGGGCAGTTTTCCCATTGCCCGAAAAAATCACTGAAGTGAGTGGAAATTCTGTCCTGAAGGACACTTGTCCAAGATCGCCCAAACATGTGTTGTGGCATATAAACTACCACCAACTCTTTTCACTCTACTGGAATCTGCTCCATGTACCAATTCTCTCATTCAGTAATTCCGGAGCACCCATCGCATGCGTGCTATGTGTGGCATTGAGCTTGAGATAGCTCAGTTACCAACCGAAAGGTCCGCAGTTTGAACCCTATCTCTGCATTTCGACTGCTCCTGTTTAAGCTTGGTTAAGTTGGCAGTACCCCGACCCTGGTGCTTCCTTCAGGTGGCATGGCAGCTAGGTACCGGAAGAGTGTTACCTTCAAAGGAAGTTTCATGATGGAACTTGGATAATGTCGCCAGCCGACTCTAACACCCGTCTGTTTCGTGCGCATTTGCCTACGTGTGATTCTTGGCCGTAGTACCACAGCCGTTTGCAGTTCACTACTATCCGGAGCAGCTTCCGTTAGCTTATCCGGTGCATAGTGACTTGTCTTCAGGTACTGAAACCGTTCATACAAACGATATAGATCCTATCATCCTTGTGACTGAAACTCTACTGCATCACTAGTATATTTTTAGGTCGACGCTGCTGTACACTTCGCACTCATGGTTTCGCCACATTTGCTCGAGTGCGATAAGAGAGATAGGTGGGGTGTTGATTTTTTCTTATGGAGGGGGCTAAGATCCTTCCTGGACGAAGTTCATTTCTGCTGTTTCCAAATGGTAATCTTTTATTCGAAGTGATGATTGGGTTAAGAAATCTAACATACCACAAGAACCAGCCTCCTCATCACTGGGTCAACTATTTACCAAAGCAGTGAACTTGACCATCTGCCCCTAGTTTTCTGTCTCCCCATCGAAATGTAGTATGGCGCTTTGTCAATATCTGAATTACCGATATGGCTTTTTCCCCTGAATCGCCCTCTAGCCGCAGGCCCAGATGAATTTCCACGAGGGTCATCGGAAGACCATGGTGAATCTTTGATTTCTGTCACCACGACGAAGCCCAACCACATCCTGGTTCGACGGTCTGGGCGCCTGTGTAACCTGCTGAGGTGCAAAATACCCGCGTGACACTCGCAGAATCTCATACTCGTTTGGTCAGTGATTAGAGACCTTATACAACCACCTTGGGGTCCCGAATATCTGTCCCCTAAAAGTTGAACTATTTCATTCTAACAAACAACCACTGCTACCTTACGGTTAAAGCTTCGAACCCAAAACTTTGAATGAGAACCTTATTGCCTAGGTTTGGGCGTCGTGCCGATACCTCACTCCACTTGAACTTCAATGCACAACGACAGATGTGGTGGCTAAACCAATTACTTACTACTGACATAGTACCACCCACGTTGAGTATAACCGCCTTTTACCTTCCAATCTGTCTTCCGAATGGCAGCATAGCCATGGACGATGGACTTGGCGCCAAAGGTGTATGAATGCTTTTCCTAGCTGAAACGCCAGCGTAATTCTGGGTTTTCTAAACTTTCATCTGCCCTGTTTAAGGATGGCTGTTGCTTGGTGAACACTTGTTTCATCTATTTGTTTTATTCTGGTGATAGACCGTCCTAAATCACCAGGGTGAATCGAAGATGGTCCCTATTTTCCTAGAGCTGTCTGCTTGACCTTTATCACTAGGGTTTTAGCATCCTCCATTGTTTTGCGACATGAGAAAATACTATTCGGGAGCAGTGAACAGGATTCCGACCGCGAGGGGCTATGTAAATCACACCTCTACACTCCGTTAGGTGTTAGGAGAATGGCACATGCATGGACATATGGTGTTTCTTGACTTCAACGTCGCGTTCCAGTCTGTAGACTGGTATGCCTTCCTAAGCACTCAGAAGTTTGTTCTTCGGATTTACAAGCTTGGAGGAGTGTAGAGCTACTCAGAGAGCTATTCAAAAGTTCTCCGGAATCTCAGCTTTCTACTACTTCAGTCTGATAATTTATGCGGCAAGCGGTCAGACGCTATGGAACCCCAAAACCACGATACTTGTATCGCTTTAGGCGAAAATCTTTTCTATCTAGACCAGACAGACTAGCTAATCCCCAAACGGAGACTCAACTTTACTTAACAAGGAAGAGAACGACTGTGTATTTTGTCGGAAGACCATCCATCGCTGCTTGTACAAACCAGTGTTCTTCGGTGGGACAGTCATGGATATAAGCACTGCCTGAGTCTGTTGGGAACATCGGACCAGTAATTCTAGACTACGTCAAATGGAGTTTGGAAAAAATAATCGCCCTCTATAAATGAAATTATACTCCATAAGTTTCGCTTGCTTGATCACATGCTGTCTCGTGTACCACTCTTCCAGGAAATTTTCGGGCACCACCTTATAGGCACGACAGAGACAGATGTGTTTCGCCTTCATGACTCAGAGTTTTATGAGCATGCCTATTTCGGCCCACTGAACGTTCTAGAATCGCGCAAGTCACTGACTGCTTGGTTGACCATAACCAACTGGCCGCTGGTAATCTGTCAGCTCCTGGCTGACGCCTCTGGCCCTATTTCATCGCACAATTCCACGCACCAATTAATCCTACAGTTTATTGTCGCCTCCTCTGGCCTCATGCCTGTGTGTTGCCGGTGTATGTTGCCGATTCAAAGCAAACAAGCATAAAACATTCTTCATTTCATCAATCTTGCAGATGGATATGGCTGGTTTCCGGACAATGTACAGTTCGTCGGCTGGATTCACGTGTGCATGCAGTTGATCCATTACCGTCTGCGTGAACCTCATCGCTGTTTCTAAGCGCGATGTAAAAGCCGAACGAGGTAACCACCAGCCGAAAACTAGATTCAATAGTTTTCTCAGAAGCTCAAAATCTCCACGGACAAATAAAAAAAAAACAGATGAGCCATGTTCCGTCGGTAAGGTTGTGGGTTAGAACTGCGCGCTTCACCACTAGTACACGGTGCATGGTGTACTTCGTTATCCCGATTTTGACACCTAATACCCAACAGAAACACATTGGTTCACCTGGAAACTAAAGCCTGCCACCAATTTCGTGTTGTCGAATGCTCTTCGTTTCTTTCCTTTCTTCAGCCCATGAGGTTCTTTCAGACCCGGCCAAACGAGAACAGTACGACAAATTCGGATCTGTACCGGGTGATCACTCGGATCAACAACATCCAGATATGCACGAATTCTTCCACGGATTCACTTTCCCGTCGTTCAAAGACATGTTCGGGGATGACGACGATGATGATGACTTTACATTCGGTAGCTTCTTTCGCAAAGGGTTTGGTGACGATTTTCACCACGGATCCAGCTTTGCAAACGAGTTCCATTCGCACAGCACATTTTCTAGTCACCGTTCGCGTAAGTTTATCTTACATGAAGATTTTTTCAGTACATCACAATGGCTGTCTCAGTTTATCCAAATCACTCTTTGTGCAGTCCTTCCATCCCCGACAAAATCCCGACCGTCGACAGGCCTTCGGGCGTGAGTTACAAAACGGATTCAGATGTGTTGTGCGGCGAAATCATGATTAGTGATAGTAGCCAAGATACCGCACGCGCCCCATAGTGACAATAGGAACTGAAAGACACAGTTCGCACGATGCTAAAATTTCGTCTTTCTCACCAGTCGCCACAGTAAACACACTTATTCTACACTCAAACAAGTGGACTGTCAAACGATCAAATTCAAACACTAGCTCCACAGAATGCTCACCGCTTCTCTCCGGGCTTGTGTATCCCCGCTTGCCGGGTGTAAGTTTGACCGTCTCTGTCGCTGTAGGCACACAACGCAACGTGGCATTTGGACTATGAATAAACGCGTAAACATCTGAATAGATCCCAACTTGGGGGAGGATCTGAATGCTAATAGGTAGTAGTATCGAGCAGACCCGACATCAACCTGCACCGTCGAAAGGAATATTTGTTAAACATTTCTGAGACTGTTGACTCGCACCATTTCGATCCATCTTCATCTGTACAGAAGTGAATGATCACTAACATAGCGTCAGTATGGTGGGAGAGTTTCCTTCTTTTTGGTGCTCTGCGTTCTCACTTTACTTCGTTTTCTGTTTTAATGAAACTTGCCTGGGTTTTTGTTCTCTCCCGTGACTGACGTAGAGTCGCTTCCTTGGTTTATATAATGTGATAATACCTTTCACTTATGTCCTACCTAATGAGTCTCAAGAAGGGCGAAGCTCTGTCCTGGACGGTCGAATAGTCTTCAACAACAGAGATTTAGCTTGACTTAGCTAATTAGTTCTCCTTCCGCCTTAAATCTCGACCAACCTCGGAACCTAGTCACTTGGCCTGACGATGCTTTTGTGTGAAAAGCGGAACGTTTCTCAGCAGTAGATCTATCAATTGTCACGAAACTTTTGCGAAAACGATGGATTCAGTTTATTTACCGTTTATGAGGTTGTCAGACCAAACAGAACCTTAGGTGAGACCAGCTATCTACAAGCTGACAATCTTATCGGTCAACAGTCGTACAAATTTGAGGAGCCGTCCAGTCAACCAGCAGAAGTTTCACTGAAGGTGAAATCGGGCTTTGCTTATCCAGCGAGGGACGTTTTGAAGTTCATGACAATCGGTGACTTTCAACAAACACACGTTGACCCACCTGAAGTAGATAATCCTTCGGTGCCTAGCTGCCATGCCACCCAAAGGAAGCGGAAAGGCTGGGATATTGCCAGGTTCCCCAAGCCCAGACAAAAGAAGTCGAGATTCAGAGGTCGGATTCGAAACACCTACCTTCCGGTCAGTAAATTTGCGCTCTAACACCCTGATGTGACGCAGGGCCAATCGGACAGTGGACCAGTCACACAAATTTGGACATCGAATGAAGTACACACGGGACGGCGAACAATACTGTTTTCAAACCAACATAGACCCATAGGTTGTATTAATAAACTGAGATTTCCCTGGAGCAAGACTTATCCTTTGTGATTGATTTCCAGCACCACAAACGACCCACGTGAGCAAGCTAGGTGGACATTTCACAACGCAGTCTAGTTGATAATAGTGGATTGTCATCCACCAAGCAGCCAATAGCGATGAGCTTATGCAACCGCCTTATTTGATTCCACAATAGTTTACGGCTTGACTGAACTGCTGCATCTCGTCTACCACCAGTCACTATCGGGTTTTCTCGAGGCACGTTTTGAAATCTTCTCTTCTGTTGCACCTCCATGAGACCCTAGTTTATGTTGTGCTTCCTCGATTACTCTGCGGTTTCCTCTTTGGAACGACTCATCACCGTAATCCCCGATATCTTTCCTTACCACATCTCTAGTACACCATATCGGGGAACTCAAACTCCTGCTAGCTAAACAGACAAGTCGGTGTTTAATGGGCGTTCAAGCTGGGTACATTGTCAAAGCACTAAACACTGAGTTATGTCAGGCACATAGACCCTCGATAAGTTAGCTGACAACTTCGGCGGGAATTGTGACCGTGTTTGGGTCCATTAAGGTGGATCCCACATTGGCTGGAAGTTGAGTTCATCTCATTCTGCGGATACTTGTCGATCCATGTCGAGGTTGCTGTTGTTGCTCAAGTTGGAGATCCTAGAACCAGTTTCCTGGTAGAAGGGGAGGGGGTTTGAATGCTTTCTGACTGTTGATCCCACTCGATAATTCATCTTTGCCCAGATATGGTTTCCCTCAGTTGGTTTGCCTTCACTTTTCAACCACATACTTGTCATTGGTGCGTTTTTCACTCAGTCCCTTCCTGTTACTGCGGTTCATTGCCTTCCAGAGTCATGCACAACCACAACCCGGCGCATGGGCAACACAGTTATTACCGAGACACACTGCAGCTGATCTGTGATGATGGTACGAATGCTCATCAAACCCCTGCTGTGAATCCTTTGGTACATTTCGAGCATTATTCTGGCTGCTGTTTCGCTGTTCTTAACACTTTCAGAAAGCAGGCATAACTATTTCTTTTACCCGCGAGGTATTCTCTGTGTTTTGCCACGTCCTTGTTTTTATCTGGTATTTTCAGACAATAAAATTGCCTTTTAAATGCCTCTTATCCAAAATCATTGCTACACACCTCTCCTTCAACGTCTCTGAAAATCATGAGTGGTGGTCGGGGCAAGGCGAAGATCAATTCGTCACGTCTCCAAATCCCCGTCGGCCGTGTGCGTCGTCTGCTGCGCATGGGCAACTATGCTGAGCGCGTTGCTGCTGGTGCCCCAGTTTACTTGGCCGCAGTTCTGGAATACCTCGCTGCTAAGGTTTCGGAATTGACGGGCAATGCAGCGCGTGACAATAAGCAGACCCGCACCATCTTCCGTCACTTGCGACTGGCCACCCGCAATGACGAGGAGCCTAAACAAGCTGTTGGGTGGTGTGTGTTGCCGAACATACAGTGGGTGCTTCTGTCAAGATGAAGAGCTTTTCTCCTTCAATAAAACATACTGATCCGCATAGCTCTGACATCGCAGTTCTTAGTATGAGCCTGATACTTCATTATATTTCACTGTAATGAGCTATGAAATACCTACCATGGTGTGACTAATGGTCTGGATCCGTTCCGTACACATACTATGTACCTCATGCCTTTGCTTGCCTATAATTTAATTGGCCGTCATGATCTGTCGGTAATGTATACCTCTGGTGTTAGGACTACCTTCGACCTCATTCAATCCATCTGAAAGGCTTCAAGTGTACTCGTGCTGATCCACGCACTACTTTGCGGACTACTACGTTAATTGCCCCTACTTGGGGCTCCACTGATCTGATGTGGTAAGCATATTCGGAAACGAGCGTTAGCCTCCCCCTCTTGCAACTCAGTATGAGTCTCTAAGTTCTGTCCTGTAACAAATGACTAGCTGTGTGGCTTGAGTGGAACTCGAGGCTAAGGGCATCATAATCGGTTTTGCGTTTTAGAAACTGCTCGTATTACGATTTCCTTCAAACTTGTTTTAGAACCGGTGAAATCTCTCCCAACAAGTTTGCTGATGGTCAGCTGTAGCACATTACTCATAAGGTCGCTGGAAACTGTTCGACAGCCCACGGCCAGTTCCGTCCTTCCTGGGGCCCATGAGGTAGGCCCACGAGTTTCCGTGTTCAACTTCAACCCGAATTGGACGAACTTCGACAAATACACTCAACTCAATTGAGTCACTCGTTTATGAGGTTCTCCAGTGCCGTACGTTTTAGTCTTAATCCGTGGAGTACGACCTCTGACAGACTTAAGTATACAATGCCCCGTCCCTCTCAAACCAAGGGCTTCAAAGATTGAAGTTTTTTAAAATTAATTTCATATCCTACGGTTCTCATTGAGAACCACTCTCTAAGCTTTGATGACCACCATAACTCATGTGTCTGCTCCGATGCTGCTTAGATCCAGCTTGCTACATTTGCGAGCCATTTCTTGACAGCGTAGACTGGCGGCGAGCCCAAGAGTGTTAAGGGGTAATAAATCGCTTGGGTACGTTTAGTTGAAGACAATGTCAAAATGGAAGCGAACGGCGGAGCGGGAAACGAAGGTATCAACATACTGGAAACATCAAGCCCCAAAGGAGTGAGGGCGATAAAATTTCATTGATGAACAGGGAGTATCACCATCGAGGTTCTGTCATCAGTCTACTTCAGGGGGGCGGGATATTACTCTGACCTTGTATGGTCATCTGAAGGTTTCAGCGAATTAGTCAAGGCTACTTAGGTCCCCAGAGGTCAGAAGTCCACTGTCAGCCGACCATGGCAGTTTCAGTTTTTCGTCAGGGACTAACTAGGTCGGGCAAACGCAAACTGGTAAGAACGAAAAACAGCCTAATTGGTGGGAGAAACATCTCTATACATCACTGTTTGCTTCACTATCAGTGCACTACGTAAATGAGCTGCTTCAGACCGTTGAGAGCAAATAAATGTCGGTGAGACAAAGGGACCAAAAGCACCGTGGCACTCAGGTTGGTGCTTAGTTAATATACTTCTGGAAAACTTCGTAACACTTGTCCCATTAGGTGTCATACTCATCCATGAATGGCATGGGAGTCGCACACTCAGAGGCTCTAGGCGTTCTGGGATACTATTGTTCCATCCCGTGATAGTTGATAATCGGCGCCAATCACATACGTATATATGAACGAAAAACATACATCAGTGTCATACAACGGTAAAGTCAGTTTAGTACGCCTGAAGTGAGGACCTCGACGAAAAAAAGTTCCGTCCACACTAACCTGTGACCAGGTCATCATTCGGCTTCTTCGCTGTATCAGAATTTCGCACAACATTAACTCGTTACACTCCTTCACTGTAGACCACGGTCCAGTTGAGTCTTTGGCTAAACGGCACCAAAACCGGGCCACTTCCACAAAGAAAGTGCTTAAAATGGCAGTATAAAAAAATTAAAAACGGATAACTCACCCCATAACTGGTTGTTTGAAGGTGCACATCACTGGGAACACAAAGAAACTCGGGAACCTCTAGCGCCAGCAAAACGGAAACCAAAAAGTGTCGAGTTGTAGTCAACCAAGCGACTGCTAACATCGATTGTATGTTCATTGGATAACTTTTCTATAATAAATATCCAGCTGTTGGCAGCTCACTCTTGGATGAACAACCCTTGAATGTACTTTTTGTTCCATCCAGGCCACTTCCACGCTTTAAAATAAGGATGTGGTCGGAAGTTGAGAATCCCAGTGGTTCGCGTGTTTTCGTGTTTATTTGGCCTCGTCCGGTGGGCTTGTTGATGTGTTATCGTTTGATTAACAGTTTCAGGCTGTGTACCACGCTCCCGCCAACCAGTTTATGCTGCTGGTAGAGTTGATTTGAGCGGGAATTTTTTTGGTTAGATAGTTCAGACAATCATCCGGCTGCGAGAGATGATCTGGGCGAGATGGCTCGAGTGGTTAGAGCGCAAATTTACTGACCGGAAGGTCCATGGTTCGAACCCAACCTCTGCCTCTCGACTTCCCCTGTCTAGGCTTGGGCAACCTGGCAGTATCCCGGCCCTCGTGCTTCCTTCGGGTAGCACGGCAGCTAGGCGCCGGAAGGGTGTTACAGCTGAACGATCATCCGGCTGCTGCCAAATAACTGAAAGGTTTTGTCCCATCATTCGTTGATTTTCGTGCAGAATGTAAGGATTAGTAAGACATGGGCTTTCGGAATTTCGCTACATATTTGAACCACAAGTGTGGTTGGACGTTGGAGATCTTAGCCGCATGAGCATTACCAATAAAATTGGTAAAGGCCTATGCATCGATATCCGTTGTAGAAGTGAGAGGAATTCTCGTACTTTTAATGTTTAGATCTTTTGACTCCAAAAGTGCTAGTGCATTCCAAAGACAGACGATTCTGGTCGGACAGGACAGTATGAACTCTTTGGGGACAGCACTTTATCGCTACCTTGTTTTTCGTCCGGTTATGTAAATAAGGAATACCTATTCGGCGAATCGCGTACTCCTCTCATACCTCTGTACTAAGTGGTATAAACAAAATTAGTTTGCAAATGAGGGTATTTCGCTAATTTCATGCAATTTGGTTTCAAGTAGAACAAAGTTGACGGAAACTCAGGGACTGCGTCTATCTGATGAGCCTCAAGAAGTGCGAAACCGGTCGTGAATTGTCGACGAATTTTCAGCAACCTTGTGAGTAGTGCATTACGAATATATACATAGTATATACCTTGTTACCCGCTACTCCATCCATGCCGCACGTTTCATGTTGTCACGGCTAACCAATCAGAACAGTAACGGTACTCACTCAGAAGAAGTATCCTCGGAATCACTAAAACTAAACAACGGAGGTTAATGAACTTGCTTTCATGAGAACTGTCCACTACACTATTTGAATGGCAATTACCTGGGCTCCGAGAACGGTTTGTCCTTGTATCAGTGGTCTACTGAACTGTCATTTCCGATGGTAATTGTACTAGTGGTTGGCTTACCTCTGAGACAGACCTGCTGGTCATTGCTAGGCACCATCGCGTAGTCGATAAACCACATTCAGTTTAAACAGGTTCAAGCATGACGCTACGTACAAACTGCTAGCGCCATTACAAACCTCAGTGAAGAATTTTCAGCGACCTTATGAGTAGTGCATTACCTCAGTGATTAATATTGGGAGCGGAATGTCATGATTGCTGTATATGGACAAGTGAAATATGAATAGAATTATAGTATCTCTCCCCTCTTACTGACCAACATCTTTTCAGAGGCCACCCATCGTGGATAGATGCTGGGTTGGTTTTTTTGAAGAAATGGGACCTTTTCACTTGGTACGCTACCGGGGACGCTGTGCATCAAACTCCTGATTCATCTTGATTATAATCCCCCTCATTCCATATGTCGTGTGAGTCATCCACACCAACCAACAAAGGAAAGCCTCTGCCTAGAATTTAGCACTATTTAAGTAGGTTAGTTGTAGGAGACCTGACCTTGAAACTCAGTCGACCCCGTGACCTAAGCACGTGGCCTGACAAAGTTTATGCGCCGAATGCAAAACACACCCCGCAATGAATCCACTCTTTTCTTCCAAAGCCTCTCAGAGACAAGATATGACTGGGTGAAGAATTTTTTTGGAGAATTAGTCCTGTAAATGAAGTCAATCTACATTGAAAGGCCGAGACTCACTGTACAGCTGTTTCATTATTATTTTGAATCACAGCAGCTCACCAAATTCCAAGGAGTCTCGCACCTACGAGCTTCCGGTAAGTAGTTTGAAAGTTTAACCGTTCGGTCGAGAGAGGCTGAACACTAGTGTGGTTAAATCGCACTTAGGATATACCACCGCACACCATCCTAACGGGATGTTGCGGGTTCGAGTCTCCTTGGAGTTTCGTGAGGTGCATATTACCGATGATTCCCAATAAGGAGGAAACAGGTGTACAGTGCACAGGCTGCATTTACTTACCTCACATAATTACTCGTGTTATACGCTGCTTGATATGTCTCTGTGTTTAAGGTGAGAACTTTTTGACCGAAAGGTCCGTTGTCTAAAGCAACCTCGGAATGCCGTCTGCTCCTGTCCGAACGTTGGAAACCTGGCAGTATTTCAGCCTTCGTGCTTTCATCGGGCCGCGTGGCGGTTAGGCACCGAAAGGGTATTACAGCTGAATGATGTATGCAATAATCGTCCAGCTGGTTAACATCGATATAATCGAGTGTCAATATTCATGAGCGGCATCATGTTTCGCTCACTTTTCTCATTGTCAGCGCTATCTGGTGCTACTGGGTCCCTTTGACTTATACTAATGGTGCCGAAACACAATAAAGAATCTATAAACCGACGCACGTTCTTCTATTAGGGAGGTGTGACGGACGGCTAATTTCTCTTTCTATCTCTTTCTGAAGAGGTCGGTCTACCACTTTCCGGGAAAAAGAATGAAGCGCGTCAGACTTCAAGACAGGTCTAAATGCACCTAACAATGATTAATTATTCTCGAAGCATTCGATCGAAGCAAATTGGTTTGAAGCTTGATCAAAAACCGCATTTTTATATAGCGGAGTACCTCACCCGATGTTCTAGTCTCTGCAGGCGAATCTCAGTAATGGGTTACTCAGAGGTACCAGAAACAATAAAATCTAGGCGAATCGAACATCGTTGTCTCAGATGGTTACGGTTAGTCCGATTTTACGGACTAGGGTATCTGAGTGCACTTTTGCCGGAAAAATGACAAAAGGTCAGATCTCTATATCCTACAAGCTTGGCTGACAAACACGTGTTCAAGTATAGAGCACACTTGAGAGTTTTCGAGCGATGGTCACCTTGATGTTGATCGTCTAATCCCTGTCGGGCCCGACTATTCGTGCGAATTTCCTGTTCACCCCAATCCGAGGTGATAATTGTTTTGAATCTGCGTCAATAACACAAAGGTGGGAGGCGAGCGACAGAAAGTTCACTAGCAGGTGTTATTTTCCGTTTCAAGGAAGTTCATTTTCCGGTTATCAATCGAGCTGAGCTTGTGGATCAAGGCTAACGTTTATAAAAAGCAAAATTCGGTTTACGTTAGCAGTCAGCATCAAACTTTAAAAGCTATAAGACGTAGCGATCCCGGAACACTGCTGATCCTTATGTGTGTTTGCTCCGAGTGTTTCGAAAGTCCAAAGCTTGGGTTCTGTCTTTCTTCTGGTTATATATATATATATATATATATNATATATATATATGGCAACACATTTTCTGCATACCCCATACTGGCTGATAGCAGAGTTAACAGGATTTAACCTGGGTGAGAACCGCACCCGAGCAGTCGTTAGTTATGCACGGAGTGAAGCATATCAAACTTTTTTGTCGTCTTCACTTGTGTACAGCACCGAAACCTGCAGAATCTGCGAAACACCTGGTAAGGTTCTCAATTTCATTCACAATATCTGCCTCAAACCCTTCAGATCCGATGGGCAGATCTAGCCCAGGTCGTTTTAACCAAGGCTTCCACTGTTCCACTTATTCAGTGGAACTCGCGTGTTCTGAAGCTCGACGGGGACGCAAAAACCAATCGAAAGAGACTAGCCTGTACTTAACCTGGGTTTTCTAACTCTCTCACCACCGACTCACCCGGTAATATGGCCTTGAATATCTTCTCACTCTCGCACACTACATGAAAATGGGTTTTGTGATTGCTGGTAATTTGCTGCTGACAATCCAATACGAAATAGGTGTATCCGACTTTCTCAGACTTCGCGATGTGTTGCTTGAATTGCCTTTGAAGTTCACCTAGTATCTGCTCCCTAAAACCCGGTAGCAGAGAAACTATGCTTCAAATCGTCAAAGCTGACAAAGGCCTTCCTCCTAAAGGTATATCAACTCATCATCATCATCACCACCATCATCACCATCATCATCATCATCATCATCACCGACAGCATGAGTTCAGTGCCCAACACCGATGCTTCGCCGCTGTATTATCAGTCCTAAGTGCTGGGCCTACAAGAGGAGGGTTGTTAATGGGGTGGAGAAAGGGGGATGAAAAAGTATGTGAAAGAGAAAGAAGTGAGGCGTCAGCAGTAGCATGTTTTCGCTTACCCGCCTTGCTGTATGCAGCAAGTAAGGTGACCCGGATGATGGCACCACGCGACGGCCGATGTGACACGAGTTTATTTGTGTATGTGCAATTCATGGTTGTGCGTGGGCTGGGATACTGCCAGGGCGCCCACATCTAGACAGGAGGAGAGTCCTCAACGAAAGCATTTGGTTCAAAAGCTTAACCGCGAGGCAGGGTATTTGGCGGGAAATGCAAACGCATTACAATTTCTACGGCACAAGTCGCCACATGTTCCAACCCCCAACCTGGAGGACCAGGAGACTGTGTTCTTCAGACCTCTAACCATTGACCAACCTGGTATGAGAGACTCTGTGA